ATATGCCAATGTTGTGGGTAGCTTGATGTATGCGATGGTGTGTACAAGGCCAGATTTGTCACAGGCCATGAGCATGGTATCCAGATACATGCATGACCCCGGGAAGGGTCATTGGGAGGCCGTGAAGTGGATTCTACGGTATATCAAATGTACCATGGATGTTGGTTTGGTATTTCAGAAAAATGAGAAGAACGGGCATGATTGTATTGGTTACGTGGATTCTGATTATGCGGGGGATCTGGACAAGTGCCGGTCTACTAGCGGATATGTGTTTACACTAGCAGGAGCACCGGTGTGTTGGAGATGCACACTTCAGTCTACAGTGGCTCTCTCCACTACGGAGGCAGAGTATATGGCGTTGACTGAAGCTGTGAAGGAGGCTTTGTGGTTGCAGGGATTATTGGAGAACTTAGGGATTGCACAGGAGACCCTTCGGGTATATTATGATAGCATGTCAGCTATCTATTTGGCGAAGAACCAAGTTTATCATGCACGCACGAAGCATATCGATGTCAGATTTCATTTTGTTCGTGACGTTTTGGATGAAGGAGACGTCATGTTGGAGAAGATCCACACGAAGGACAACCCTGCAGATATGTTGACCAAAGTTGTTTCAGGTATTAAGTTTGGTCATTGTTTGGAACTTTTGAACATTCTTCGGTGTTGAGGTCTTTGGAGGCCATTGGGTGAACTACGTTCGGCTTGATTCCTTGGGCAAGAGGATACGTAGGCAGTCTTTACGATGCAGCCGGTTTGGATTAGTTGATGGGGGTGAGATTGTTTGGACTCTCGTTCGGTTTCTCGACTTGTTGTGGATTGAGTTCGTACTGGTCACAACCGTGATTGTTGAGGCCGTTGGCGGCCATTTGGATGAACTACGTTTGGCTTGATTCCTTGGGCAAGAGGATACGTAGGCAGTCTTTACGATGCAGCCGGTTTGGATTAGTTGATGGGGGTGAGATTGTTTGGACTCTCGTTCGGTTTCTCGACTTGTTGTGGATTGAGTTCGTACTGGTCACAACAAGTGGGACTTTTGGTTTGGTTAGTGTCAGCTCAGTTTTGGAAGAAACTTCACCGAGGTGGAGAATTGTGAATACGTGGGGACCAGTGGCCCACGTGAATGTAGTCTTCCCACAAACGTGTTTCTTCCCACACGTTTCTTTAACTGGCCCACGAACTTGATTTTAACCCCAGGCCCACGAACGTGTTTTCATCAGGCTATATATAGCCATTTGATTTTGCCCTAGGGTTTTGTGCAATTGAAGGCAGGGGAGAAAGAAAATTTTGGCGGCTGCAGGCTTGAAAAGCATGCGCAATTGAGGGCCAAGGCAGTGAGTGCAAGGGGCGGCTGCAGAGAAGCAAGATTGTGATTTTTGTTTTGCGGCTGTACAAAGTCCTTTTGTAGTTGTTTTTTGGGGTTTTGTGTCTCCCCCTTTGAGAGATTTTGTGAGGGATTTGAGAGTTTGTTTGAGGTTTAGATTGTGAGATTGTAAACCCTAGTTGTATCTCTCCCTCTAATAGTAGATCTCCCCCTCCTTGCCCCGTGGACGTAGGCTATTTGCCGAACCACGTAAAAGTTGTGTTCTTATCGTGATTTGTAATAGCTTGTAGGATCCCTCGACAGGTCAGTCCTAGAACTGATGAGAGGAAGAGCCGATACTTTGATGAGATATCCGCTTCAGATTCTTGTTTCCTTTGAGAGACGGGAATTCTTATCGATCTAATCTGTCTTGTTGTGCTGCCGAAGTGCTGCCGAAATTTCCGCTGCGCACAACAACCATCATCTCTGAAATCTTAGAATAATTCCTAAGATTTAAAAAAAAATTATTATCATAGTTAGCAACAACAACGTCCACTTGACAAGTCATGCGTAGTTGACAGGTCATGGATGTATATTAACACAAATTAATTAGATCTTGTATTGAACTTACAAAGAAAATGGAACAAGCACAACACGGCTACACGACCTCGGTCGCGACATTCACAATCAAATTGGTCAGAGAAGATGCGGAGAAAAGATGCCGTATCTCCCCAATCTTATGTCTTCTTAGTAAAACTAGCGTCTCCAATTTCTATAAATTCTCATAACCTTTTGCTATTAAGGAGGAGTTTACGAAGACAATGACCCTGCTGGCATAATGTCATGACCCTTTGTTTGTATATATAAGTTCAAATTAATCATGCAATAGTTATGAGACAAAGTTTGTTCCCCTCTCTATATATCTCTCTACCTTTCTGTTACTTTAAACTTCTTCTTATAGTGGCAATGGGGAACCTGATCGTGGATTCATGGTTTAAGGAAAATGCAAGCGACGGTATTGAATCCAAACAAGAGGATCAGAAGAATTAAAAACAATAAGAAGATGAAAAAGAATGTTCCACTTTCCTTTTCTATTTCTTATAAGGATTCAGCAACGTCGACGAGTAGTGGTACTATCGGAGTCTTGTCCTTGGAGGTTGCGAGCCTCATGTCAAAAATTGTACGTCTCTGGCAATCCCTCGGCAATGACAATATTACCAAGCTCAGATACGACATATTCAATCATGAAGGCATCAGAAAGCTCATATCTGACAACCATGACTCTCTCTTTAGCCTCGCCCTTTCTGAATTCATGGATTCCCTTGGATCCCTCACTCAATCTGTCGCCAGGCTAGGGAGCAAATGTGCTGATCCCGTGCTCCAGCAATTCGACCGCATCTTCACCTATCTCCTCCTCCTCAAGAGGAACAATGACAACCATCTATATGGGTTTCAGTATGCCGAAAAGAAAATGGAGCGCAAGGTGAAGAAGATGGGGAGAATTGCGTCTGCTACCTCCAACCTTTACCAGGAGCTAGAGGCCCTGGGAGAACTCGAGCAAACATTGCGAAGGATGAAGATTCAAGCGAAATCTGATCCTAGCCGTCGAAGTCCCTTGGCTGATTTGAAGCCCAAAGTGGTCTGGCAAAGGAAGGAGGTGAACCATCTTCGCGACAAGTCTCTTTGGAACCACACCTATGATTATACTGTCCGCCTACTGGCGAGATCCCTCTTCACTGTCCTCGGAAGGATCAATCATGTCTTTGCGTTTCTTGATGATGATCATGGTGGTGATGATGATGATGATGAAAACTTATCTCCGTCCATTTTCCTACTGTCACCAACTTGGAAGCGCCGCAACTGGAAGAAGACCAAGTGGCCGGTCTCTAACACACCCTTCAGTGGCTGCATTCCGACAGGAGCTGACTCCCCTGTTCTGCCAGGCTTCGTGCCTAAAATGAGCAATGCTGACAGAACAAACAATTGGAACAAGCCATATCTGTCTTTCTTCGAGTCCCAGCACAAGCCACTCAAGTCTGCGCCTTCGACTCTCGGCGCTGCTGCACTAGCTCTGCGTTACGCAAACGTCATCATCCTGATCAAGAAGCTTGCATCATCTCCTGACTGGATTGTTTCAGATGCCAGAGATGAGCTGTACAGTATGCTACCTAGCAGTATCAGAGCATCGCTGAGGGCGAGGCTCAGGCCCTATACAAGGAATCCGAGTACATGTTTCGATGATCCAATAGTTGCAGCATATTGGAGTAAGACAACGGCAAGAATATTGGAATGGCTTGCTCCGCTTGCTCATAACATGATAAGATGGCAGTCGGAGCGGACCTTCGAGCAGAAATATTTGGTTTGTAGCTCAAACATTCTTCTGCTACAAACCCTGTACTTTGCAGATCAAGCTAAGGCAGAAGCTGCAATAACGGAGCTACTTGTTGGTTTGAACTATTTATGGAGGTTTCGAAGAGAAACGAATGAAAAACAAAACTAACAAGTTAATTCAACAATATATACAGATATCCTTGTGTGATTGACTGTTTCTCCCTTGAGATTCATCTAGCGGCTCTTTGTAAAAGGGAAAATTTGCAAAATAGTCCGTTTTTGCTAATTATTTAGCAAAATAGACCGTTTTGCTAAATAATTAGCAAAATAGACCTCTTTTTGGCTAACAGATCAAAAAGAAGTCTATTTTGCAAAACAGCTCAGAAAACATATGGGACTAGTAGTCTCGTATGTTTTAATGGATTAGTGAACTCAGAAAATTTCACAAAACATTGAGATGAACTCAGAAACATACGGGACTACTAGTCCCGTATGTTTTCTGAGTCACTAATCCATGATTAAGTTGGCTCTAAACATACGGGACTACTAACATACGGGACTAGTAGTCCCGTATGTTTTCTGAGTTTTGTTTTTTAAAATCGACCTCCTTTTTCAAAAGAGGTCTATTTTGCTAATTATTTAGCAAAATGATCTATTTTGCTAAATAATTAGCAAAAACGGACTATTTTGCAAATTTTTCCTTTGTAAAATGACATCCATAAACTAAATTGGACTGAAAATGGTCCGTAGTTACATTCTTTCTCTCTCTCTCTCTCTACTGTCATCCAATATTGGGATATAAAAGATAACTCTGTAAAAAATAACATTGCGCATGGTTTTTCAACAATGCATGACATTTACTCAAGGAGAAGCAAAATTGTGCATCTTATTCTTTTAGATAATGAATGCGTCAGATTTCCAAGAGATTTCCTCTCATTTTAGAAGGAAATCAATTTTTATAAAATTTGGTATTTTTGGGCACTTTACAGAAAACATTTCTGTAAATTTTTTTGGAGCCAAACACAGTTTATAGAAATGTATAGAAAACTCTTAATTACATAAATGCCATGCGTCAGTACTTTTGAGAAAACATTTCTCAAAAACAATGCAACCAAACACCCCCTTATTCTAAAGCATGACCTGCATTAATTGTATACTGGGTTCGCTAAAATAAATAAAATTGAAAACCGCGCGTGTGGTTGATGTAATTTAAAAAAAAAAAAATAGGGATACCTAAAGCAATGCATCACAGCACTTTGGGCGACCTAACGTCACGTAATGTGTAATTTAGTTCCCTGTTGGATGGGGCACTTTACGTCCATACTTGCAAATTGTAAGGCGGTGGGTAGAAAAGAGGAAGACTAGCTCACCGATCATCTAACGCAATCGTCGTCTGATCCCATGGCGTGGAAACTAATGATTTAAGGGATGTATATCAAAATACGAAGATTTGGGGGACTAATATCAAAATACTAATGACTTAGAGGACTAATTAATATTCATCCCTTATTAGGTTAAAAGACCAATTTGGTCCCTGTACCGGTGCCTTATACACAGATCGGCCCTTCCATTTACTTTTTTCTGAATTTAGTCCTTGTAAGATGCAAACTTAGTCCTTTTATAACTCTTTGTTAAAATTTCAAAGGATAATACTACTCTCCCAATTCATTTTCTGCAAAAAAAAAAGAGGATAAAAGGGGTTCTAGAAAACCCCCCTTAACTATAGACTTCTCTGGTGAGTCGAACACATACAACAGATACATTAGGGTGTTTGTTTTAATTTTTTTTTGGCATTTGGGTGAGATTTCAAATTCTAGGATAAAAAAGTGGGTTTTTTTTGGGTTTTAGAATTCCATAAAACTTGTTTGTTTCAAGGAAAAATTGTGTCGAGGCCCCAAAAGCAGAAACTTCATGTGACGAGGCTCATTGTATTTTGCCCCGTGTGGATAAGCCCCCAAAAGTACCGTTTAATATTTCAAGGCCCCTCCACGTCAGCGGTATATAAAATAGTGATTGTATTTTGAAAAGAACCCGAAATTGCCCTTCTCCTTCTTCCCCAGACGCTTAGATAGTCAAGTCCAATTAAATGTGAACTGATGAAAGAAATGGAGGGAAATTTCCCCCCTTTTTCCTCTATCGTTTGCAATAACTATGTTAGTTCTCCATTACTCTCCTCAATCCCTCAAACCCAACGCTCTCATCTCCTCTCTCCTCTCTCTCATCTCCTCTCTCATCGTCGTTGCCGCCTCCCCCTGCGACATCCAGCGTGCCGCCGCCCTCGCCGCGAAGGCCTTGCGCCCCAGCAATGCGGACATAGCCGACGCTGGGGCAGTCGATGTCGAGGCCGCCGACACCGAACTCGTCTTGTTTTTGAGCGAGGAAGTACTGACGAAGTTATATCAGCTTGTGTACCGCCTGTTTATCCTCCAAGGTCTGGTCATGGGTTGGCTTGCATCCCTGTTTTACCTACTTTTTCAAAGGCAAGCTTGCAGAATAAAGTTCCATTGTGTAAGGGGAGTCTGCATAGTTCATTTTCTACATCCCCGAGAAACCACCTTTACCCTCTTCAGTTGAATATAGTAAAACACTTGGCTAAGGCCGCTAAGATTTCCCCATTAAGGGCTGTTTTGGCATGTGTTTTTGGTAGTAGTATCTTGTCTAGTAGTACTGAATCATCAGCTTCCAATTCTTCAAATGATTCAATTTTGCAAGCACCTGATGCTGAGAGGTTCTTCTATGAGTTTGCCCTTGATCAGTCAGAGAGGTAAAATCAGCTAAATAGAAGTATTATATCAACATGATATCTTGATCACTGCGTATCAGTCCTAACTCACCGCATGTTAGTTCTACCCCATCGCATGTTAGTTCTAACATACCGCGTGTTAGTTCTAGTTCTAATTCATGACTCTTAGGCTCCTGTGTTAGTCCTAACTCCCAACGTGTTAGTTCTAACTCACCTTGAATTTGGTTGTAATTTTGTCTCTTTGTGTCCAATTTGGGGTCTTTTATCTCTCCTTTGAGGGGATTTATCGTCTAATAAAGCTCCCAAATTATGGTTCTAGAGCTCAAATCTTTTGTGGGTTTTTAATTTTTTTATCAATTCCATCTAGAAAAATCTCTCAATTGCTCGTTTACTTTGTGTTCTTGTTTATTTAAGCCGTGTCTTGTAATTTTCTATTTAAAAGTCTCATGTTGAGCATATTCTGCTCATATCTTTTGTAATTTTTTCCCTCAAATGCTATATTCTATCATAAAGTTCTCTCCTTTGTTTGGGATTTAGCTGTGTATTGTAATTTTCTATTTAAAAGTCTCATGTTGAGCATATTCTGCTCATATTTTTTGTAATCCCCCCCTCAAATGCTATATTCTATCAGAAATTTCTCTCCTTTGTTTGGGATTTTAGACATTTGCAGGCTGATGACTGTATTAATTTGGTTGGTATTATGTGACATTTGCAGGCTGATGACTGTATTAATTTGGTTGGTATTATGTTGTTGTATTTGTTACTTTGGTGGAAGTTTGTACTGGTTTGTTGATTTGTTTTTTGTATTGGGTATTATGTTGTTGTATTTGTTACTTTGGTGGAAGTTTGTACTGGTTTGTTGATTTGTTTTTTGTATTGGCAGTACCGGGATGCAGATTATTGTGTTTATGTATGCAGTTATCTCTGTTATTATCAATTCTTCATTTTGTAAGATACTCTTTTATGTGTTGATACCATGATTCAAATCAGAACAGGAGGAGATGTTGTTATTAGACCTAACACAGTTAGAACTAACACAGATCGTGTTAGAACTAACACGATAACAGTTAGAACTAACCACACGATAGCTGGAACTAACGTTAACTAAGCTAGAACTAACTAAGGCAACAGAACCAACACTTATACTAGAACTTGTGTTCGCTGGAGGTAGAACTAACACGATAACTATTAGAACTGACCCCATAATAGTTGGAACTAACGTTAACTACGCTAGAACTAACAAAGGCAACAGAACCAATACTTACAATAGAACTTATGTTCGCTGGAGATAGAACTAACACGATAACTGTTAGAACTAACCCGACAACAACTGGAACTAACGTTAACTAACCTAGAACTAACTAAGGCAACGAAACCAACACTTATACTAGAACTTGTGTTCGTTGGAGGTAGAACTAACATGATAACTATTAGAACTGACCCCACAACAGTTGGAACTAACGTTAACTAAGCTAGAACTAACAAAGGCAACAAAACCAATACTTACAATAGAACTTGTGTTCGCTGGAGATAGAACTAACACGATAACTATTAGAACTGACCCCACAACACCTGGAACTAACGTTAATTAAGCTAGAACTAACAAAGGCAACAGAGCCAACACTTACAATAGAACTTGCATTCGCTAGAGGTAGAACTAACACGATAACAATTAGAACTGACACCACAACAACTGGAACTAACGTTAACTAAGCTAGAACTAACAAAGGCAATAGAACCAATACTTACAATAGGACTTGTGTTCGTTGGAGATAGAACTAACATGATAACTGTTAGAACTGACCCCACAACACCTGGAACTAACGTTAATTAAGCTAGAACTAACAAAGGCAACAGAGCCAACACTTACAATAGAACTTGCATTCGCTGGAGGTAGAATTAACACGATAATAGTTAGAACTGATACTAGAGCAGCTAGAACTAACACTTACAATAGAACTTGCATTCGTTGTACCTAATAGGTTAGAACTAACACAGTTCGTGCGTGAAGATCTGAATCCTCTATTGAATCTCGTGGTGCTATTTCTAGCTATGATGAGCCTGAAACAATCTCAAAGGTAGTATGTGATAGAGAGAATTGGGAAATTGAGAGAATTGAGAGAGAGAGTAAGAGCTAAGATTGAGTTTGAGAAGAGGAAATCATTTGTATTTCATTCATGCTTTCATTCTTTTACAAGCTCCACTTTTATACAACAGTTTAAGAGATCAAAGCTTGTGCCAGCTGTGCACGTGCACAAACAGAAAAAACAAAAAACTACCAGAACTAATTGTATTTGTAACAAGCTACTATGGATAAAAGTATCTGCGTAATAGCCCTTCTACTTGCATATTAGTCCATAGTTTGCATATCAGTCCAGCTCTTCAAAGCTTCCTTCCATCAAACTTGTTTCCAGTCTCCTAGCTTACACACAGTTTCAGCAAATGGCAACGGACAGAACTAACAT